GCACTTTCTTTTTGCTAAACAAAGAACTTCTAATGATTCTTTCGTCGGTATCCCTGTCTAGAAATACAAAAACGCAACTAAACCAAAAACTGTTCCAAATCGGATCACCTCACTTACAAAATATTTGTTGTGATGGTGCAGAAAAATATTAATAATCTCGCAGCTTCGTCTTATCATTCGAAATTTTTAATGGTCTCAGCCAACTACTTGTAAAGTGTAAACTTCTCGTAAATCCCTTTAAAGAGATCTCCGCAAAAACAAATTATGTGCCGGTAGGGCCTCGGTTTCGAATATGCAAAGAAGAAGAACAAGAGGGGGGAAGGCACCGAGTTAACTGCGGTGACGTGGAAGGCAATGGGGCGTACTACTTAGATGAAACGGCGAAGAGGCAGGGCAGATCTGGGAGGGCGCACAGCTATTCGAGAAGAGAAGCCAGGAGAACAAGGAAGGGAGTCGCAGACGAAAGGGGTGCCGGTCCCACCCCGCCAGCAGCTGCCAACGCCCCGCCCCCGTGCCCGCTTTCCTCTCCCGCCGTTAATTGCTGCACGCGCTTAATTTGAACAGCGCACAAGAATTACACGCAAGAAGTACAGAGAAGAACAAATCTCATCGCCTCGGTTGGCGACAGGCAAATCTGTAACTCATCTTTTCCTCGGGGACGACTTTAGTTTCCCCTCGCCGGACTTGTCTGGCGGCGAGAGCACTCTTCCCCCCCGCGCCCCCTGGGCCGGGTTTCTCTGCTGCTGGGGCGCAAACGCAGCCTCCGCGCGGGGAGGGCGCTGGCGAAGTTCGCCGCGATGTCGAACGAGATGTTAACCTAGCCTGTGGACTATTCAGTGCAGTCCCTCGTGCATAACGACCTGGAGAAACAACTCCCAGATACTTCGTTACGTAATGGCGTGGCGTACGTTCTAATAAACTAGTGTCACGCTGTAGATGAAATGCAGCTGAACAAAATCACATCAATTTTTCTTCAAAAAGTATCACCCCCCCCACACACACACACACACAGAGACTGCCGACCTGCGTGGCCGAGGTGGCTCCGAGCGCCTACTGACTCTTCGCTTCGTTCCGAACGGTCGCGGGTTCGAATCCCGCCTTCGGCATAATCGTCTGTCCCTTGTCGTGTTGTCATGTATGTGTTGTCGCGGAGGGCCTCGTTTTCTGTTGACCCCAGTTCAGAGGAGCCCGCAAGGGGTAGGTGTCTAGTTCATGCGTCCCATCGACATAAAAGATAACCGGCTGTCAGCTAGGTAAAAGACGAAAAAAACCCACGCACAATACAAAATATAAGTAAACAAATTGATATACTATGGATTTTCTGTGACGTGTTATTGCAGTATTCGTAAACGGTACACGTTAATAAATAGCTTGCAAAGGCATAGCAACAATATAAAAAAGGCGCTGTTCCATGACCCAAAATGTGAAAAGAAAATATTTAGATTTAATAATGGATTGTGGCTTCTGCCTTGGAAATTTGATACCGCATGACGTCAGCTGTGGTGTAAAGAGTAACGTAGCGAATGTGAACATTTAGTCGGCACGCGCAGTGTCATAAAAGTCCGATTAGCACAAACAAACATTTCCAGTTTTCAGGCACAATCGTAACTCATTATTTTTGTATTTTGCCCGAGTTGTTGGATATCCAACGAAAACATAGACCTCTAACATGCCCGGAAGCTGCATATTTTTTCTTTCAATTTCTGCGCGTATTGGATTATTGGTTTGTTGGTTCTTAGCGATTCCGCACGCGTCAACTACTGAGGTAGACTTGTAAGCGTAGTGCATTTTTTCCCTCAGAAGGTGGAGGTGATCTCGCCCAGTTTCTTGGCGAGACCAGATCAGGCGCCGACCTACTGTCGGGTATCTCCCACGCAGGTATCTCCCACCAGAGGGGGCACCGCCACAGTAGGGACAAGCTCTAAGTTCCCGGCCGGTCTCCTGGCATGTGTGGTAATGTAGTGCATGTGTGTGCATGTGTGTGCATGTGTGTACATATGTGCGCATGTGTGTGTATGTGTGTGTATGTGTGTGTATGTGTGTGTGTAAATGGATAGGATAGGTCAAGGAAGAAGAAGAAAAGATTGCGCGCGCTCCGTGGCCCCTTTTTTTAGGGTACTGCTCCGGCATTCGCCTGTTGATTGAAACAATCGCGGAAAACTCCCGATGAGAGTAGCCGGCTTCTCCTCCAAACAGCGACTGATTTCAACGGATAAAATTTTGCCATTGTCGGGACGCGAACCTAGCGAAGCACTGAGCCACCTCTCCCGCTGCGCGCATTGGAAATGAAAATACTTCTGCACATTAAAAGACAAAATGCGATCCTACTCATTTTTACATTTTAGTGTAATGAAGTGATGCATATTTAAGATGGAGTGTACTCTTGTGACGAAACAATAGCATACTACAGATCAGCTCACGCAAGTAAATAAGGGGATAAGTGATGTCGGAAACAAACAATTACTTTCGACAGGAAGTTTAGTTTTTCAAATTTAGAATTTCTGAAACTCTGGAATGAGTGTAACTATGAGAATCGTGTCGAATTATCATTCACTTCAATAAGCTGAGTCACAATGTTAAAAAATAAAAAAACACTAGTGAAACTGATTTTTAAAGAGTTCTGCATTTCGTTACTTTCTATTACTGGTGGTGTCATATGTCCATGGAAATAATATCCTGGATCTTGTGGCATATTTCCACATGTTCGACTCGATAAAATTTAATATGTATTTGCTCTATTGGATTTTCAATACCAGACCACACATTTTTTAGGTGCCTTTTCCAACTCTTAGAAATTGAAGAGTACGCGATAAATATCTCCTCGCTTTAAGTTCATTATAGACATGTATTAGAATAAATTGTCTTTGATTTAGATTACGCTTCAAGTCAAACGAATAAATGGAGACCTGCTAATCTCCTAAAGGTCATCATTCTATATTATACAAAAAAATATATTTGTATTATATGAAAAAATATTATTTAACTGTTCCCGGGCCTCACACAATTGCAGTTCGAAGAAAATATATAAACAAAATAATCAATTCCAATGACATTTATTATTAGAACTTAGCTCGCCATTTAGAAAACAAGGAAAGTCGTCCTCAGCATATGTAATAAAAAGGAAAACAACTATCAAAAAATATTTTCTCCTGTTTATCAAAATGCAATTCAAGTAACACAATAAATTAATAAGTTTTCCCTTGCAGATTAAAGCCTATAGAGACAGAATATTATTCGTGAACATTGAAAACTCTCATTAAGTATATTCTTATATGTTAACATTCATTCTTACTATTTATGAAGAATTCCAAAACTGTCGCATCGTATACGATCGTTGCCATTTGCAAACGCTCTTGTTCTACTTATTCTTTCACCTGATTGAAGAGATATTCAGTCTGAAATGTACATCACTGGAAACAATACTATGCACTATAGCGAAACAAACAAACCTGGTATGATTAAAAAATAATTGGGACGCAAAGAGCTGGGCCCAAGGCCAAGTCCAGAAAGGCCGCCGGAAGAAGGGGGCGGTAAGTGGCTGCAGGCGGAAAACGGCAACTGCCAGAGCCAGCGGAGAC